GCCGGCACCCCCTCCACCCCCCAGAACCTCGGGCTTCGGAACCCGGCCGGCTCCCCCTCCACCCCCCAGAACCTCGGGCTTCGGAACCCGGCCGGCTCCCCCTCCACCCCCCAGACCCTCAGGCTTCGGAACCGGGCCGGCTCATCAGGGGCGGTGGCGCCATATCCGCTCAGATCTGCGCACTGGGCGCCTTTTCCATGCAAAGCTCCTCTCTCACTGATCCCGTTTCCCATGTCGTCTCATAAGTGGCCAGTGTCCCAGACTTTGTGTTCATCTCCAGCTCTGACCTGTTCATAAAGAACAGGATTAATCCTGCCCGCTTCAGTCAAAGCCTCACATCCCCTTTATCTTGTCACTATGTGGATTAGTGGCGCATGGTCAACAAACAACGATTCACTACCGCGATCGAACTTGCTCAGTCAGACAGTTAGACACCCCCCCGCCCCCAAATCAAAACTATACCAAAGCAATAGGGAAGGTAACAGAGTTAAGAGTTATTCTGAAATAGCAATGAAAAACCAACGTAATGTTTAAAAGAGAAAAGTTTTAAGAGATCAAATTGAAAAAAATATAGGCCTTTAAAAAAACAAAAATTATTCGGATCTCTATATTTTTAACCAAGAAAGCAAAAAGGACAGCAGGAAAACTCACAAAAAAATAAAACAATCAGGAGAAGGACTTTGTAAACATCTCTGATGCTGTCGTGCCAAATTTCAGCTCCACTAAAAATAAACCCCCCACTAGGTGAGACTTTGTCAGGCTCATGCCTAAGGATCCATGTTAAAACTACTAGTATAAAACATAAATCAAGCTGCCAAATATTTCACCTACATGGTCCAGCCGCAAAAACACAAATCCACCCCCTTGCTTGCATCTCAAACCAAGACTTTGACTTTATCCTCTGAGAGAATAGCACCAACATCCACTAAAAATTTCACAAAACCCTCAAAAAGCCAAGATTCAAATTTACTTTTGAAGCTTGTTAATCAAACAGCAAGGAAGTAACTTAAGACAGAAGACCTCCATGAGGCTAAAGGGGACTTGGGGCATTTTCTATGATGGTCATCTACTGACTTCTTCTGGCACTGTCTCTTCAACAGAAAAATGACTTAATTCTACACGGACGGACAGATGTCTAGTGCTGCACCATAAAAATGTTTACATAAAATATATACGCGGATGGCACGATTTCAGAAAACATATGTAAATATTCACTGAACTCATACTAGGCAAGCTGACAAACCCATGTGACATGTGAAATGTCTGACCTACAAATGCAAAGGTGATCTAGAAATCGCCGATATCTCTCTTGTCATGTGGCTTTCAGGATTAGTTGCCAGTGTTGATGGTCTGAAGACCTCTCTCCCCCCCCCCCGTCTAATCTGGCCTCCCTTATCTCTTCGACAGGACCAGAATGCAGGCTGGCCCTGGATTCGGCGAAGCTGGGCTTTGAAAATGATCCTTCACACTCATTGCCGGCTCCCCCGAGACCTTTCGACAAGCGGGGATGTGTGAAAAAGAGGCAAGGCTTCCGCTGACACCCCCTTCATTCTGAAAATCACCGTCTTGAGTTCTTACTGATCTAATTAAAGATGCTGGCTCAAGACTAAATTTAAATCTTGCCCCCTCATGCCCCCATGAAAAGATTTTAACTGAAAAGGTTTTAATACAATACTATTATTATTTTATGGAGAAAATTCTGCTGAAAAAAAAAAACCCTAAAGACAGCAGGCTTCCTTAAAATGTTAAAGAAAATAAAATAATGACCAGCAACATCATGGGACGTATTATTCACATTTACATTTTTTTCTGCTCATACGACTCAGGTCTGGGTGTGTTACCTGGACTTTAACCAACATAAACACAGACCACCCAGAAGCCCCCCTTCTGATCGCTTCATCCAATCAAAAGAGCTCGATTCCACTTCAGTTTATTACTATGGAGACAAGGAGAGCTAGAAGAGAGAGCAGGAGGCCACAGTCCTTAACAAATGACAAAGAACAAGACAAATGCACCTTAATGCAGAGAACAGACAGCTAGTAACAAGAATGTTTGAATAATGCACAAAAATTCTGCAACATTTATTGTGATAAACTGGGAAATGGCGGAGTGCGAGTCAGGCGGCCCAGCAGCATCTCACGCTCTCCATGGCTGCGGAAATGGAGCCTGCAGAATGACTCACCTGAGTGACCTTTAGAAGCAGCCTTTGACTCCAGCATAAGATCCGCCGGCCGCTGACACTGGAGCCCACGCTCAAATAATGTCACGGCATTTGATGACCGCGGGAGGCGGGCGGCTCCTTATCATTATCCGAGGTCAGGGCTGCATCTAACAGGTCCGGGCCGGTCACACGCTACCGAACCGGGCCAGCCAGACGCAGGGATCCATCTTTATTCTGCACAACCTACAATTCTCCCATCCAGGGCGCACTGCATGATTTACTGCATATCCAGATGATTTTCCAGATCTGGCTTCTCACTACGGAGGACAGTCCTTGGGAACAACCGTCTGGTTTCTGGGTTTAGGTTTTACGCATTTAAACAAAGAAATCATTCAGTGCCTCTAGAAGCAGAATCTCTGATGGTCCAGCGACATCATACTTTTACACTGAAATGAAATATGCCGTCAGATTTATGAACATTTAATGTATTCTTTCAGTGGAGACATTATTGTTATTATCGTCCATCCATTCATTTTCTGTACCCACTTATCCTATGCAGGATCATGGGGGGTCCAGAGCCAATCCAGGAAGCAATGGGGCACACAGGGCACACTCACACAGGTTTGTAATTATATCTTTGTGGGGACTCTCCATTCATTTCTATGGGAAAACTCTAACCCCAGTATGACGACCTTAACCTCTACCCAGCCCTAACCTTAACCATCAGTAACCAAACAAACTATGAGACTTTTTTTTTTTTTTTTTTACTATTTTACATTTTTACTTTTTTGATTGCATACACAGATCTTTGTTGGGACCTGAAAAATGGTCCCCACAACATCAAAATAACGAACATTTGGTCCCTATAATTATATTGATTACTTTAAAATACATTATTATTATTTAGTAGTCGTGTTGTTGTTGTATAATACATGAGTTAATGTTTTTGCTAAATATATTAAATGTATTTATTCTGATATTATGAACAAGCCCCCAAAATAATTTATTAGCACATAATATTAGGAGGGGGGGGGGGTCCAGTACAATCTAAGTGAAGGTAAATCGGAGCGTTAGGCCGTCCGCCGGGTACACCGGAGCGTTAGGCCGTCCGCCGGGTACACCGGAGCGTTAGGCCGTCCGCCGGGTACACCGGAGCGTTAGGCCGTCCGCCGGGTACATCAGAGTGTTAACCTGTCTGCAAGGAACATCTGAGTGTTTAGCCTTCAGCACCAAGCCGAATGTTGCCATAGAAGCAGGGTAAAAATAGAGAACCTTGTTAAGTCTGAAAAAAAAAGTTAGTTACCATGGCGCTGCGCGTACCTGTGGTGTGACACAATGTGACAAGGACACATTATCTGTCTCAATGGGGGGTGTGTGCATGATGGGTATCCTCAATCTGTAGCCACCATCATCATCATCAATATCACCACCAACACCATCAACATCACCAATATCCCCATCATCAATATCACCGCCAACAACATCCACATCACCAATATCCCCATCATCAGGATCATCAGCAACATTAACATCGCTAATAGCATTACCAACTTCAGCGACATCACCGCCAATATCAGCAATGACGTCATCAACAACGACATCGTCATCAGCAGCGTTTATGTATGTAGCCCACAAAGCACGGAAGTTATACCTTTATAAAGCTGTTCAGCCTGAATTTTGTACAAACTTCCGTTTAATCATACGCAAAGCAAGATAAAAGCAGCAACTGCACAAAAGGCTAAAACGTGAATTTAAATCTCTTTTAAAACAATCCGTTAAAACAAACTTCGTAATTATTAACCATGTGATGTTACACAAAATGAAAACTTATTGACGAAAATAACTAAAATCTCATACCTTGATGTAGTTGTCAGAAGTGCACTAAACTCATTCAGTCAAATCTAAAAAGTGAATATCTTTTTTCTTTTCTTTACATTAAAAAATAGTTAAATACAGAAGTTAGTTTTGACGGACTTTTTAAAATTTGTAACACAACATAAAACACAAAAAAATTGTGCCAAAAATATTGGGGTTAAACAGAACCCACTTTGCTTTGGTTTTGCCTTGTTTGAGTAAAGAATAGCCAGAGGTTAGTAAAAGCAGCTGAAGTTATGCTAGGGTTGCATAAAATGCCAGAAGGCTTCCAGGCAGGCGCTCACCTTGGGGTTGGCCAGCAGCTGCTGCTCATCGTAATGCAGCAACGCCACCGAGTCGGACTGCGAGTTATTGACGAAGATTTGCAGGCAGGGGTACAGCGCCGTGCCCCGGCAATCCGGCCCGCATGTGAAGACGCACTCAAACATCTCGCCCGGCCGCTTGACTGACACCACCGTGCAGTTTACCGGCGTGCTCTGCATGCTTTGGAGGATGGGGTTCAGCCAGCAGAAGAGCACGATGAAGAAAGAAAGGACGCCGGACGCGATGAGGACCACGCCGAGCCGGATGCTCTTATCCTCCGCGTCTGTGTACTCATGCGACACCCTGTTTTTTGCCATCAGTCCTCGTCCATGTGGCGGTCAGGTGCATTCAAACGCAAATGTGGGAGATGACCTACGCAGGGGTAGCGCCTCTTCCCCCAACTTCTGCCAGACAAACTCCAGTTGCCTCTTGATTTCTTGTGGAAAAGGTGGAGAAAAATTAAGCTGGTTTCACCCCTCCCCTCTTACGTGGCTTTTTTCCTGAGTGACCACATCAGTCCATCCATAAAGGCGGGATGTTATCTGGTTATGGTTAAGCTTCTTACGCAGGAACAGCAGAAGGAACCAAGCCCGGCTCCAGGTTGGATGTCAGATGACGCGGGGCGCGGTGCCATGTGCAGGCGGACGGGGACTGCTCCTTGTGGAAAGCGCTTACATCGGCAGCTCAGAAAGAAACCATTTATATATTTTTTAAAGAAAATATAAACTAAGAGAGAGAGAGCAAAACAGAAGGGCGTTACACCAGAATGAAATGTCACCGTATGAAAACTGCCCGTTGCGTCCCGGACGGCAGATGTTTACTTTTAATTTAATTCGGTTACCTGCTGCGCGTCTAATCGATCTGCCGATGCGCTGCCTGATGCGGTATGTCCGCGCAGGCGTCCCACAGCGCAAACCTCCGCTCCCGGTCTCCTAAACTGACCGTGCCGAGTGTAGCAGCTGGAAATGAATCACCAAGAGTGAAAGAAAGAAACGCCCGATAAAGTTATGCGCGAAAAGCAGGAGTTATCGCCGGATCGTGCACTTATGTTAACCCGCGTTTTGATATGATTATGTTAAAACTATAGGTTATTTAGTTCACACAGCAAACTATTAGTCAATGCGTAAGAAGATCCTGTTATCAGACAGGAGTTTTGAAATTTGAGAACCTTACAATTTCAAGGGAGATTTGACAGGTTTCTCTCCATCCCAGGCTGTGTGGTTCTTGTCATTTTCCAGTTTCCACCTAGTAGAATGGTACATTATACACTCACCTAAAGGATTATTAGGAACA